CCTGCTGCAGACACAGGAGAAGGCGACAAGAGGGACTGGTCACAGGAGGAGAAGGACATGGGGGGCCAACAGTGGATTGGGAGGTTCAGAGGGAGACATATCAGCGTTCCCATCTGGGATCAGTTTCAGTGCCTCTGAGACACAAGAGCTCAGCCCAAACCAGCAACTTGTCCACCCGCTGCTGGCAGGAAGGCCTCAGGAGCTGGCCAGCTGCTGGGTCACTGCGCCGGCCTGCCGGAAGCCCTTTGCTCTCAGCTTGATCCATGAGGCTGAGCCTGGACCATTCACTTTTCCCTCCATTCACTCTTCAAACTACTTCTGGCATTCCTAGCCCCTGGGGATGCAATTACGAGCAATAAATGGCCTCCAGGGGCTCACAGTCTGGTGGGGGATATAGACTTGTAAACCAGCGCTTGATGGCCCAGAATAACTAAGAGGGCCTGAGCTGGAGCGTGGGAGCAGCTAACCCTTTGGGAAAGGGGGCTGGGGAGAACTTTCCAGCAGAGCCCATGTCTGAGCCAATTCTGAAAAGATGAGAGGAAATAGATGAAGGCACATTCACTAAAGCAGAAGAGGGGAACAGGGGAAGGTGTTGCAGGTCAAGAGAGACTGCCAGGCGCCAGATGCACAGACAAAAAGAAACCCACAGGCTTTGTTTGACAGAAGCAGCTAGAGGTTGGGGGGGGGGAGCAGGTGAGAGCATGGACCTGGAGCAGACTCCTGGGTTGGAATCCCAACTCTGCCACTCACTAGCTGCATGACCACAGGCAAGTTATTTTAATATCTTTGTGCCTCAGTTTCCTCACCTGTAAAACGGGATAATACTATTTTTATGAAATTAAATGAGCTAATATCTGTAAAACTCGTAGAACAGTGTCTGGCACAGAGTCAGTTATATGTTTGTCAAATAAAATGTAAAAAGTATGAAAAGGAGATGGGAAAGGAAGCTGAGGCCTGTAGAGTGCTGGCCGCGGGTCTTTGCATTTTGCTCAGCTGACAGTAGAGAGCCAATCAAGGGTAAGTGGACGCTTTAGAAGGAATTCTCGTAGCAGTGGGAGGATGGCTTAGAGGGGAGGCTCTAAAAGGATGAGTCAGTTATTCATTCCACAAACAGTTCTCCAGGGCCTACCAGAGCCAGACCCTGAGACCCGGACTCAGGACTTGAAGGAGAGACAGGATGTTTCAGCAAGTTCAGAGCTACAGTCCTGGCCCAGACCCCAAGTGTCTAAGGCAGCCCTTCCTTTCCCCTCCTTGCCCACCACCCTCACTTCACATCGCCAGATCCTGCTGTCCAGGTTTCATAAGGAAAGCCATGGAGAGACGGAGTGGCACTGGCACCTAGCCCAGAAAGGGGCCTTGGCTGTCACTCTTCGGGTTCTTTAGAGAGAAGAGGAAGGTAGCTGTTCAAACAAAAGCTGTTGCCATCCCCGTATGCCCAACAAAGAGAAGTGGTCTGGGCCTTGTGGTCAGCCCTTGGGTGTGGTACCCAAGGTGGAGGAAGCCCTTCTCTTTCCTTATGGCTCTGGCTCCTCCACAGAATTCCCTGTTCCTTCCTCCTGAGCTGGTCGGCAGTAAACACTGACTCACTGCCAGGCACCCTGCGGGCCATGCCCAGATGCGCTGGGCCTGGCCCCTGGCCCCCCGGGAGCTTGTGGTCTGGCGGGAGGGAGGAAGGAGGCATACGGATTGGAAAGCATCCGGACTTCCATGGTCCAGTGGCAGAGGAGCCAAATGGGTGGTGTGAAGTTATCAGTGGGAGGTATGTATTCTTGGCTGGGGCAGCTGTGAGCAGGTGGGATTTTGATATGAGGTGGGGAAGGAGGCCTGTATTCTAGGCAGAAGGTAGGCCATGTGCAGGGACACAGCAGTGAGCTTGGGCACAGCAGAGAAGAGGTTAGCTTGGTTAGAATCCAGGGTTTGTGTCAAGGCATAGGAGGCCATGTTAGTGCCATACTGCAGAAGCCACATGTGCCAGGCTGGAGGATTTGGAATTCATTCTGAATCATTGGTTTCTGAAGTATGGTCCTGGCGGGGGCACGACCAGACCCTTTCAGGGGATTGGTGAGATTAAAACTATTTTCGTAATGATACTTTCAGAGCTTCCCTGGGTTTATGCCCTTTTCACCATGTTAATATTCGTACTGATGGTGCAAAAGCAATGGTGGGTAAAACTGCTGGAACCTCCCCATAGATCAAGGCAGCGGCCCCAACAAACTAGTAGCCATTGTATTCTTCATTCCATACTCACAACAACAACAACAAATGCAATAAAAAGTATTCATTTTATAAAGCCTAGATCCTTGAGTATATATCTTTTTAAATATTACATGTGATATACTTATACATAGGCACTCCAAACTATGATGGGTGTCTTGAAAAGCACTTTTGCAACTGAGTTGCAAGCTATACTAGTCCCTTTTTTTAAGGAACACCATTTTAACATGAAAGAACACCTGACAGACAAAACTCTTCTTACAGTGGGTATTTGGCAGATGTTTGTTCAAAATGAATGAAGTGAGCTTGTCACTTCAAAAACAGCAGCAGTGTTTGTTGCTAATGATAAAATTGGAGATTTTGAGGGGAAATTAGAATTTTTGAAACCTTGTATCCACTGTCTAGAAGCTGACAGCTTCCCAGGACTTAAAATGAGTTTTCTGATGAGATCAGTAGTGCTGTGAGCAAGTGTGATTTTTTTGATGCTACGTAATGCAATGTGTCAGCATTTGGAACATCTGCATAACTCAGTAAACCAATTTGATTTTCCAGTGACCTGTGCTTCATGTTACAGAATTCAAAATGCAAGATAGACCAGTGAAAAGGTCATTTACCGGCATGGTTTCAGATTCTACATAGCCACTAACCTTTAAGAAACTACTACTTGTCCTATTTTGGTGTAGGAGCAAAGAAGAACATCCATGATTGTCTGAAAAGGCTATTAAAATACTCCTTCCTTTTCTCACTACATGTCAGTGTAAGGCAGAATTTTCTTCATACTTCCACCAAAACAGCATGTCACAACAGATTGACGGCAGAGGCAGCTAGGAGAATATAGCCATCTTCTGTTAAGGCAGACATTAAAGAGATTCACAGAAATTAAACCATGCCACCCTTCTCGCTATTTTTTTTTTTTTTAGAAAATATAGTTTATTTTTCATAAAAGTATGTTATTTATATTAACATGCAATTGGCTGGTTTTTAAACTAATAAATATTTTAAACAGTTCTCAGTTTTAATTTCTAATATGGTAAATATTAATAGCTATAACCTGCATAAACAAAACCTTCTTGAGATCTTCAATAGTTTTAAGATTGTATAAAGGGATCCTGGGACCAGGAAGTTTGGGAGCTGCTATCTAGACCATAGGGAGCCAGGAGTGTAAAGAGGGATGGGGGGAGGCAGGCAGGATGGGTGTGACATGGGCCGGTGTCTCCTGGACACAAGCCAGGGCAGCTCTGACAGGCCCCCTCGGCAGGGCTGGGAGACCCAGGATCTGGGAGTCCCAACTCAGCCACTTCTGAACTGTGGGCTGTCACCAGTCTCCATGGCCTCTGCGAGCCTCTGTTGGTTTCGCTAGGACTAGAATGCTGCCTGCGCAGGGGAATTATAAGCCTCCTGTCTGATAATGTTTGTAAAAAGTGCTTTGTAAGTTGTGAAACCCTTAATAGATGTTTATTGTTGTGGTTATTTTGTCTGGAGCCAGTGGTTAGCTATTTTAGACGCTTTCCCCAGACCCCAGAAAACCTGTCTGGTGGGTGTGAGAAGGTGTTAGGTGGCCAGAAGGGGAGCAGGCCTGACCTTCACTTCTCCCTCCCCAGACCTTCTCCCCCCACACCCCCCCCCAGAGCTGAGGCAGGGGCTGCCCCATATCGGGTACCACGTGGAGGGAAGGTTAGCGGGCTATTGCTCAGCTTGACTCTGGGACTTTGGGAAGAGAAGCCAGAAGGCAAGGCTCGTGCATGTGGTATGTGCGTGTGTGCATGTGTGCGTGTATGTATGTGCGCGTTTGCCCGCCTGCCCGCCCACCAGCCCGCCTGCTTGCTGCAGGGCCTGGAGCCGCCGCTGGGAGAGGAAGTGCAGTCGGTTACCAATCAGGTTATTTTCATAACGGCTGTCTCAGGCTCGGGGGAGGAGGGTGGCGAGGGGGAGGGGGAGGGGGCAGAGGAGCAGCCACAGCAGCTCGCGCTCCAAACTAGGACTTGCTCAGCCAGAGGCCGGCAGCCTGGAGCTCGAGCCAGACCCTGGGGCTCGCCTGCCCAGGGGGACCCCAGCCCCCACCCGCTCGCCCACCTCCTGCCTGCAACCCTGCCTTCCAGATCAGGTCAAAGGGGGCTCCCCCACCCTTCCTTGCCTTCTGCTTCCTCCCTCCTGTATCGGTCTGGGTGGGCCTGGGGAGGGGTGGTTGGGCTGGGCCCAGGCACCACCATCCCTAGATTAGTCTCCTGAAGCTGATGGAAAAGGAAAGGGAAAGGGTAGTGGACTGCCTGCCCCCAGCCAGGGCAGACCCAGTGGAGGTAAACATTACTGGCCTGGTCACCTCCTTTACCATGCAGGCCCATCTGCTCCCCACTGTGCACTTTTGCTTGTTGTGTTGGGGTAGGCTCCACCTTAGTGACTAGAGACCATGGGGAAGTTGGGACCCTGCCTCACCAGCCTTCAGGCAGGCCTCCCTTCCAGCTGCCCCTGCCTGGGAGCAGAGCAGCCAGAGGTGACTTCTAAGCAGCAGCCCCCTGGGGACGGAGCTCCAGGCCCTTGCTCTGGAGCTGCTGGGAGTGGGGCCCTGACCACAGCAGACTGGTACCTCTGGCTGAATCCCACAGGGAGTCCTGTGCAAGCACCTCTGGAAGTAGATGTCCCTGGGGGCCGGCCTGGTACCAGGGGCAGAGGACATTCCTCACAGCATGAGCAGATACCCAGGTGGCTCTGGCTGCCAGGCTCTGTTCCTCATGAGGTGGGTGGTGGCCACCCTGGGTACTCCTGCTTCCCTTTCTGGGTTCCCATCCCCGCCATGGGCAGAGTCAAACCTCAGGAGGTGGCACGATCCACACGCCTGGTGTCTGCTATGGGTGTAGGCCCCGCCATGCCCTTACTTTCTGCCAGGTATCATAGCATCAGGTACTTTATACCATCATCTCATCAGAACGCCCCTTATGCCAGCCTTCTGAACTAGGTGGTATCATCCCCATGTTGCAGATGAGAACATTGCGACTCAGAATGTTAATTGATCAGCCCAGGAAAGCAATGGTAGATGCAGGATTTCAAAGCCTTTGAAGGCTTTTCTGCTTGAAACTATTATAACATAGAGTGTGAGAGAGTCTGGGCGGTGAGGTCAGAAGTCCTGTCCTTTCTAGCTGGGGCGCTCATGCTGCTCACCCCCACTGGCAGCTGCTGTAGCTCAGCTGCCCACCTCCACGCTCGCTGCTGTTCATCCAGGGTGCACTGCCAGACCCTGGCATCCTTTGTCCCCCCTAAGCCCCCAGCAGCCAGCTGGAGGTTGATGGGGCCATGAGTTCTTCCCCATCCTGTCCCCTCTGGGTGTGACGGGTGTGAGGGGCTTCCCCAGGCCTCCTCCAGTGACCTTTATGTATACTTCGTACTTTGTGGTATGTAGAAGGTGACAGAGTGTGAGGTGAGAAGAGCTGCTACTTAGAGCTGCGCTGTGGGAAAAGGCTCCAGGTCCACGCAGGGAAAAGGCTGGGACAGGCCTGAGGCCAGGCTGGGCTTCTGACCAGCCCCAAGAGAAGCCTCAGCAGAGATAGGAAGTCAGAAGTCTGGCAATTGCTGACCAGAGGACAGAGGTCTCTATGGAGACCAGAGGAACAGGAAGCACAGCCACTGGGGGGAGGGGATGTTGGAAACACAGAGGCATGTGTGCCTGGCCTGGGAGCTTCTAGTAAAAGGTCAAATCAGCCTCTGTGGACAGATAAGGAAACTGAGGCCTGTGAAAGGACAGCTTAGCACATGGTCGCACCCTGGCCTGGCCTGCTTTGCTCCCCACTTGGAGTGACTGCACCATCAGGCAGCTGAGGATACTCCTGGACAGATGTGGACTCTGGGCTGCTGGCAACACAGGGGCCAGAGCGCTGTGGGAGCACTTGTAAGCTGCCCCCATGTCGTGAGGCGGGGTGTGCAGGTGACCTCTTCCTCCTGGCCTCTCGGCAGTGTGGGTCTGGGGCAGCAGGCAGGGCCCAGCCCTCACCGCCACCCACAGAGCGCCTGCAGTACCTCCCCCACCGCTGACTGTGGCCTTTTGTTTTCTGGGTGACACTAGCATCAGGCGGTGTGTCCGGGTGACTAATCTTCTCCAGGCTGGGCAGCTGTCACAGGGCGGCCTGACCAGACGGGCAAAGAAAGCTGACACCCTGGGGGAGTGCTGGCAAGCCAGTGCCCTGGCAGCAGTGGGCAGCTAGGCCTTCAAGCTCCTCTTCCTGGGTGCAGAGCAGACCCCAAGTCAGGCAGACCAGGGTTCAGGTCCCGTTTCTGCCATTGACTGGCTGTGTGACCTTGGCTTATTACTGCGCCTCTCAAAGCCTCAGTTTCGTCAACTCTGTAATGGAGCCCTTCATTCTTTTTGCCTCACAGAGTTGTAGCGGGAATCAGAAAAGATGGTAATTGAAAGTGTTTAGCCCAGGGCCTGTCACAGAGTAGGTGTTCAGTAAGTGGAACCATTGTGGTTCTTATTATGGTCGTCTTCCCTACCCATCCCACCTTAGTCCCAGCCTCATGGTCCAAGAGGAAAGACCCCACTCCCCACCTCATCTCTGGAGTGTAGGCTTTGCCTTCAGGTAGACCTGGGTTCCAACACTGACTCTAAACGGACCAGCTGTGGACTTTGGGCAGGTTACTTCTTTGCACCTCAGTTTCCTATCAGGACCGTGGCATGAAATAGTACCCATTCTTTAGGGTTGCAGTTATTTATCAAATACTATACATGTTTGTAAAGCGCTCAGCACAGTGCCCAACACATGCGGGCACTCAGTAAATGTTAGCAGGGATGATATTGATTTTAGGAGGCAGCCAAGAGCTCTCTGCCTACAGAGCTCACCTCCTGCCCTTTTCCCAATCACCTGCAGGGGCTGGGACTGGGACAGACATAGAGCAAGAGCTGGGCAGTGTCGGACACTGCGTCCCCAGGCATGACTGCCTCCACTGCTCACTGACCACAGGAGCTCAGACACCTTGGACCCCGTCCACCTCCCCCTCAGTACCCCTGCACCCATCCAGGACTCGAGTCTGACACTGCCTGACCGGAACCCACGGAAGAGGAGCAAATCAGAGAGGTGGAGGCAGCGGGGGAGGATAGGAAGGTAGGGAGTAGGTGCTAGATGTGCAGCCAGGCCTGACTCTTCAAGCCCATCATCTCCCACTGTTTGCCCAGGGCTCCCCCCCACCACACCTCTCTGCTCCCAGGCCCTCAGCAGGCAAAAGTATTTCTCCTGTCAGCCCCAGGCTGATGGCCCACGGCCGTGACTTGAACCTCCCTGTGGCTGTCAGGGCCAGGAGACCACCTGAAGGAGGGAGGCAGGCATCCTTGGGCGTGCTAAAGCATCGCCCCCCTAAAGCATGCCAGGCTTCCTGTCCTTTTCCCACCGTTGGGGAGAGAAAAGGGTGCAGGTGATCCCAGCGGCCTGTGAAGAAGAGGTGGCAGGAGCAGGTGAGCTGGTGCAGGAAGGGGAACATGTGTTTAGGACAGGTCATGGGAGAATGGTTTGAGCAAGGATGGCCTCCAAGGGTCCTGCCTCCTGGAGGCAGCTCAGGGCAGCCTAGTATTTGGAATCGTGAGAGTTGGGGCTTCTAGCGTTGGCCCCTAGGACAAGGCACAGTTCACAGGCACCCTCAATGGCAGAGCTGGAAAGGTTTTCAGACGTCACCCAGTACTTTCACACATGGGATGGTGGCCATACTGTACCTCTTCAGAAGGGTGAGACACAGCAGCCTAGTTCCAGAAAAGTTCTTAACCTTCAACCCCTCAGAGCTACAGACACACACACACGCCAGAATCCAGGCTTTTCTCTTGGCTCAGGCCTCTTGTTGCTTCCTATACAAAGCCCCCCTGAGTGAGGACGAGTGGCTTCTCTCCCTGTGCAGCTGCCTCTCCAGTTCCGGGGGCCTCGTTTCCCCAGGGTCCTTTGATCCCTAAGGCATATGTCAGATTCTCTCCATTTCTAGGTGCCACTCTCAGCCTGACCCCGAGAATGGGGCTGAGAGAGTCAGGGGTCTTATCAAGACTGAGTTTCTTTTCAGAGAGCCTTGTTTTGTTACCATGGCTTGGTTTGTGCCATGTCCCAGGAGGGGACATCTAAACCTAAACTGCCCCATGTTGGTGGCAAAAAAAAAAAAAAGGGAAAGCCTAGCTTTCAGCCCCGCAGTCTAGGCCAACTCTGAACTGGAACCCAGGACTCAGGACTTCCAATTCCCTTTTTCTTTTCCATCAGCTTCAGGCAAGAGTCGAAGTCCTTTAGGCCAGGACTTTGTGGATTATGGTGTCTGGACAGGGGACTCCGGGATGGGTAGCTGGAAGCCCTCTCCTACTTTACTCCTGGGGCAGCCTAGCGGTATAACTGGGGAGAGCACCAATGCTTCCAGCAGTGGTAAATGTGGGCTCCCTGGTCTCTGTGCCCAACAGCCACCCGCCTGCCCCTACATGGAGACTTTTTTTAGGAGACGCTTCCAGCGGAAGGCCCCAGGTCCTGGAGAGGGGCAGTGGCGGCCCAGCGGTGTGGGGCTGCCCACGGGCAAGGCGCGGCGCCGCTCCCCTGCAGGCCAGGCCTCTTCCTTGCTAACACAGAGGCGCCGCTCCAGCGCGCAGCTCCAGGGCTGCCTCCTGGGCTGTGGGATGCGGACCCGGGGCACCAGTCGCCGCCGATCCAGCACCGCGCCCCCCGCCTGCAACCCCCGCTTCACCGTGGATGAGGTGCCCACCCCACAGCCTGCCACTGTTCTGGGCGCACCCCTGCTGTTGACCAGGCTTGTGGGCATGAATGAGGAGGAGGAGCAGGAGGAGAAGGAGGAGAAGGAGGAGGGGGTCCAAGAGGAGGATGTGACAGTTGCAGCGTTGAGTGCCACCCAGCAAGGCACCAAGAGACCAGGGCCAACCCCACACCTGGGCACCCGGCCCTTGCTGTCCGTGCCCCGTTGCCTGCGCCGAGCTTCCTCTCACCTGTTCCCTGCTGACAGGGTGTATGACCACGCCCTCTGGGGCCTGCAGGGTTACTATCGGCGCCTCAGCCAGCAGTGGCCTTCAGGCCAGCACCCTGGCCCTGGGGGCGGAAGAGCCTCAGGCACCACAGCTGGCCCCATGATGCCCGCCCGTGTGCGCCCACTCTCCCGCAGGCGCCAGGTAGCCCTACGGCGCAAGTCGGCGGGACCCCCGGCCTGGAGCGCCCTGCTTGCGTAGGTATAGCTGCGGCCGGCAGGGCGAGTGGTGTGGCCTCCGAGGGGGCTGGCCTAGAGTAAGGGCCTTGAGGCTCTGCTTGGCCTGAAGGCGCCCCACATTGGAACAGCACACCCCGAAAGGGCTGTGAGGCGGGCTGAGCCTCCTGCAGGAATCCTCTGAGTCTTGGGCTGCTGTAAGGGATCCTCTACGCTCCCGGTTGCTGCCCCTATCTTGGCCTTGGGTTGAGGTCACAGTGAGGACAGAGGTCCCAGGTGAGGGGGTAAGGAAGCGGAGCTTCCAGGTGCTCAGCTGGCCTCAGCTGTCTCCTTTCCTGCAGGAAAGCCATCACCAAGTCGGGCCTCCAGCACCTGGCACCACCCCCGCCGGCTCCCGGGGCTCCGTGCAGCGAGCCAGAGCGGCATATCCGGAGCACTGTGGACTGGAGTGTGAGTGGCTGGGTGCTGAGGGGCACATGGCCATCAGCACCTGCTGGGCTCTGGGCCACAGCAGCATTTGGGGGTGGAGGTACTGTGGGCAGATGCGAGAGGAGCCCATGGGCCTGTGGGGTCAGGGCAGACCTCCCGGGGTGGCCATGGTTGAGCCAGGTCTTCAATAGTAGGGACAATGGGGAAAACAGGAGAGAGTCAAGTAGATAGCGGTGGCTGGAACAAGTTTATCTTGGGGGAGAGAGGGTTGATGGGTCAGGGCAGGGGCTGACTGGTGAGCTGGATGGCATGTGTGCATTAAGCATGTTCATCCCACGGTCTAGGAGTCCGCGACGTATGGAGAGCATATCTGGTTCGAGACCAACGTGTCGGGGGACTTCTGCTATGTTGGGGAGCAGTACTGTGTAGCTAAGATGCTGGTGAGTGAGCGTGTGCTGCATGCCGCCCCCTGGTGGTGGATCCGGGTCTAGGAACCTGTAGGCCGACCCCTGCTGGCTGGCGGGCTGTATGTAGCCTTTCCAGGGGAAGGTGGGAATAAGGCTCTCACCTGAGCGCCCCTGCTGCTGCCCTAGGATGGGGAGAGGAATGGGAGCTGTGTCCTGATGCCAGGAGCCAATAGTGGGGGTTCCTGGTGCACAAGGAGGGCAGCTGTGCTGGGGCAGATGCAAGGATTTCTCTGCCTGCCCTGGAGCAGCATCCGGGATAGAGTTACCTGGTGCCTGAGGGGCCTTCTCTTTCCTACAGCAGAAGTCAGTGTCCCGGAGAAAGTGTGCAGCCTGCAAGATCGTGGTGCACACCCCCTGCATTGAACAGCTGGAGAAGGTGAGTGTGGCGCAGCCTTTCCTGCCCCTCCCCTTCAGGTGCTAAAGCCCTCTTAGACGTGTGTCTGCACACGCATAGTCATGTTACACAAGCATCGCCTGCCGGGATACCCCAGTGTCTGTGGGGTGAAGAGCCAAGGACCCTGGAGCCGAAATGCCTGCATTTGAATCCTGGCTCCCCCTCCCTTTAGTAGCTGCTATATCCCCACTGTCCGGAACAAGCCTGGCACAGAGTGGGGTGCCTTGACAGTTAGTCAACAGGATGAATTAGTGAATGGTCCTGTGACACCATTTTATCAGTATCTAATCTAACACTTAGAAGGGGGCACTGCCTTGCTGAACCTTCCTAACTCAGCTGTGGCCGGCTCAGTTCTGTGTAGCCCCAAAGCCAGGCTGTGTCCCCCACACACTGCTACATGGAGACCTTTCCTCGAAGTCCATTGTCCATGGTGTGTCTGGGGGCATGTTTGGGCCCCGTGCTTCCAGAGGGAGGTAGCAGCAATGCTGGGTAGGAGTGTCCAGGCAGAGGGTGGGACGTCTGCCATAGCCAGTCAGGGCTCCCCAGGTAGAAGAAACTTAGACTAGCATACAATGGCATGCACACGGCTACCTGGCGCCTGATGCGTAGAATAAGGCTTCCTATGACTTTGCTAAGACTGAAAGGGACAGTTAGGAAAAGAGAAACAAATGCAGCCCCAAGCATTGTAGACCCATCACCATCCTGTAAAGTGAAAATCAAACCAGGGTTCCACAAATTAGCTAGAGGTCTCCAGGGACCAGCCAGCATAAGTCTGCAGGCAAGGAGCGGGGTGCCTGCAGGTGCTGAGGCTGGGAGTGTTGGGGGTGGAGGAAAATATAAGAGAAGGAAACCATGGCGCCGTCCTGGTAAGGGAGATGGACAGTAAACTCCCAGTCTCTCCTCAATCCCAAAATACTGGGCAGAGAAAGGAAAGCTTTCTTCTGGCTAGTGGAGAGGAGTACAGGAGGGCTTCTGAGAGGAGGCCTATCATGTCCTAAGGCCTGTCATCTCTCCCTACCTTGTGAGGATGACTCCGAGTGACCCTTTCCTGCAGGGGTTGGCCATATGCTTGACCCCAAAGGGAGGTTCTGACATTTTGTGGTCACTGCAATCTTTCATAGATAAATTTCCGCTGTAAGCCGTCCTTCCGTGAATCAGGCTCCAGGAACGTCCGTGAGGTAAGTGCCCAAGGTAGTTTAGGGGCAAGGAGACCCCAAGTGGACCTCTCTGCAGTGTCCCCCAACTGCCACCAGAGGGCTTAGCTCCTTGTAGGCTTCTCTGGGGCCCAGGGAGGTGCAAGGGATGAGGCTCAGAAGGTCTCAAAGGGGAAGGCCTGGCTGGCCCTGCCTGCAGACGGGGTGAGGCACCCCATGCCCCCCTGTGCCTCCTAGCGCTCTCTGTTCCTCCTTGGAGACTTAGCTCTGCTCCAGGCCACAAAGACAAGTCTTCACTCCTTTGCCTCACACACAGGACCTCAGAGACCTTCCTGCAGCCCCCCACCTTCATCACTGACATATGGAGGGGTGCAGGCCACGGTCGGGGCTTGTTCCCTCCACCCCTCACTCCAATGATACTTCTCTCCTCCTCCACCAGCCAACCTTTGTGCGGCATCACTGGGTACACAGGCGACGCCAAGATGGCAAGTGTCGGCACTGTGGGAAGGTGAGTGGCCCAGGAAACCGGCCGACCGGCTTGCTGCCCACTGGACCTGAGCCCTGCGGCCCCTGAGGCCTATACTGTGTGTCCAGTGTGGCCTGACCATCACTGTGTCCCCAGAATGCCAAGTCCCAGGACTCACTCAGCCTAGCTGCAGTGCCCAGTCAGTTCCGAAACATCTCGGTCTCTGGGCTAAGCAGGACAGCACAGAGGAAGGTTTCTTCTAGTGCGGCGTGTCCTGAGTGCTTTGAGGTCATGAGCGAACCCCCTGAGAATCGTGCAGACTTGCTCAGTCATTATCTCAGCAGTCCTTGTTGAGTGCCCGTTGGGTGCCAAGCACTGAGCTGAGCAGTGGGTGCCTGCCCTCCTGGAGGAGGGTATGGCTTGAAGACAGACCACAGCAGTCTTCCCGAGTACGGGCCACAGTGGTTTTGTTCACTCATTCGTTGTTTGCTTCTTGTCTGTCTCCCTCAGTAAGCAGAGGCTCTAAAGGGTCTAGAGACCCGTGTCCCCTTTCCTCCAGTGGCTCTCAGTGCTTAGACAGTGTCTGACACGTAGGGCCTGGGCCCTCGATAAATGTTTGTGGAACGCACAAGGGAATGACCATGATGGGTGCTATAAAGAAGCACAAGGGCCGGCCGAGCGGCTCAGTTGGTTAAGAGCTCGCTCAAGAGTTTGAGCTCTGAGCAACAGCGGTTCGAGTCCAGCCCGAGCTGAGCAGCCGCTAAGCTGCCAACAGGTGGCAGGATGGCTCAGCTTAAAAAAAAAAAAAAAAGAAGCACAAAGAACTTTGAGAGAGAGACTGCAGGGGGCCTGGCTTGGCCTTGGGTCAGGAAGGAGGGGACCTGAGTCACGAGGGAGTTAGCAGTGGCCATTCTCCAGCAAGTACACACCCAGCACTTTGCAATTAACTTTAACTTCAGAGTCACAAGCCCCTGGCTAAGCCTCCCTGCTCTAGGGGCTTATTTTATAGATTTTTTTTTTTTAATGTGCCCAATTTCCCTGGGTGGAGAGAGGCTGGCAACAGAAGAGGGGCTGGGTGTACTGCTCTGGGCCTGGCCCCTGGTGCCCCAACCACCCTGTCTACCCTAGGGCTTCCAGCAGAAGTTCACCTTCCACAGCAAAGAGATTGTGGCCATCAGTTGCTCCTGGTGCAAGCAAGCAGTGAGTGGTGCTCGCCCTGCCCCCACAGGCTGTCTCCCGTGCTGCCCAGGGCTGGGGTCCCAGGGCACAGCTCGGCCCAGCTCAGCCACAACCTCCCCTCCCCTCCAGTACCACAGCAAGGTATCCTGCTTCATGCTGCAGCAGATCGAGGAACCGTGCTCCCTGGGGGTCCACGCCGCTGTGGTCATCCCGCCCACCTGGATCCTCCGTGCCCGCAGGCCCCAGGTGAGTCCTGCCTGCACCCTGACACCCCCTACCCACTTGGGGCCTGCCAGCCACCCCATCCCACCCACCTTGTCACTGACCCCCTGCTTCCCTGGCAGAACACCCTCAAGGCAAGCAAGAAGAAAAAGAGAGCATCCTTCAAGAGGAAATCCAGCAAGAAAGGGCCCGAGGTTAGACCTGGGGCCGGGTGGGCAGCTGGAGGGGACAGGAGAGAGGGGCCTGTTTCTTGGAAGAACCCCTGGGCGGCTGCTGCTGGCTCAGCCTTTGGTGGGTCACTTTGGGCTCTGGGGCCCTGAGGAAGGGTGGGAGGTCAGATTCAACTTGCCTCGCTATGGTCAGGCCCACCATAAGGTCTGACCCAGAGGTGGCACATGAGGGGCACCCAGGGGCACTGCTGAGCATGGGGTAGGGTCCTCCAGGACAGGAAGGAGCCTTAGGGATTCTGTGTCTCCTAGGAGGGCCGCTGGAGACCCTTCATCATCAGGCCCACCCCATCCCCCCTCATGAAGCCCCTGCTGGTGTTTGTGAACCCCAAGAGTGGGGGCAACCAGGTACGTGTAGCCTCCCTGCTCCACAAAGAGCCTGAGGGGAGGCCTGGGGGTCAGGCTCTCCCACCCCACCTCTGCCCCAACTATTCCCAGGTTCACTTTCAGGCTTCTGCCCCATCCCTCTTCCCCAGCAGCCTGAGAAAAATCTAACCCTGTCTCTGCCCCTTGCCCCTATTGGGCCTAGTTCCACAGCCACAGCCTTCTCCCTGTGCTTCTCCCCGCTCTGCCTGCCACCCCTGACTGCCTCTTCCCTGTCCCTCACAGGGCGCTAAAATCATCCAGTCCTTCCTCTGGTATCTCAACCCCCGACAAGTTTTTGACCTGAGCCAGGGAGGGCCCAAGGAGGCGTAAGTAGCGGCCAAGGGTCTGTGGGGAGAGTGTTGAAGCCTTGCTTGGCGCTCAGGGTCCGTCCCACATACCCTGACCTGGTTCCTATCTTCCGGCCCCAGGCTGGAGATGTACCGCAAAGTGCACAACCTGCGGATCCTGGCGTGCGGGGGTGATGGCACGGTGAGCTCTCCCACCCTCCCCAGCTGGGACCTGGGCCTGAACCTGGGCCTGGTTGGCCTGACCTGGCGTCTTCTGCCCTGCCCTGTCCAGGTCGGCTGGATCCTCTCCACCCTGGACCAACTGCGCTTAAAACCGTCGCCACCTGTTGCCATCCTGCCCCTGGGCACTGGCAACGACTTGGCCCGTACCCTCAACTGGGGCGGGGTAAGAGCCCTCCGGAGGTGGGGCCGCTGGGGTGGGCTCTGTGGCGGGGAGGGGCTCAATTCCTGCTTCCTTCCACCAGGGCTACACAGATGAGCCCGTGTCTAAGATCCTGTCCCATGTGGAGGAGGGGAACGTGGTGCAGCTAGACCGCTGGGACCTCCACGCAGAGCCCAACCCTGAGGCAGGGCCTGAGGAGCGTGACGAAGGCGCTACTGACCGGGTAGGTCAGCCAGGGCCGGGGCTGTGGGTGTCAGGGGTGCCTCCCCATACCTCAGCGTCTGGCATTCCCAGGAGACCTGGGCTGGGCCCCACTTTCACACTTGCTGATTCTGGGGTCTTGGGCGAGTCTCTTCATCTCTCCAATCTTCGGCTGCTTCATCTATACAATGGGGATAATGGTACTCACCTGACAAGATAGTAGTTATTCAGCTGCTCGGCAAATATTTACTGAATACCTGCTACCTGCCAGGCACCTGCCAGCGTGAACAAGACAAAGTCCCTACTTATGGAGCTCCTACAGAATATGGCACATCAGGGAGGAAGCATCGTGGGGGCAGGAACGCTGGGGAAAAGAGTGCCAGCAGGGTGGGGGCGCTCTTGTGTACGGGACACTTGCAGGAGCCAAGAGGCCAGAGCCTGAGGGGCCAGGCAGGCTGGGGAAGGGCTTTCTGGGGGCTCTCTGTAACTGTGTGGGAAAGGCCTCTGAACACGCGTGGCCTGAGCAAGCACCGAGCCCCTGGGCCTGCATGGGGAGCTGTCGGTGAGGCCCAGCCCTCATGCTGGTCCCTTGATGTTTTTCCAGCTACCGCTGGACGTCTTCAACAACTACTTCAGCCTGGGCTTTGATGCCCATGTCACCCTGGAGTTTCACGAGTCTCGAGGTTGGCAAGCTCTTGCTGAGGTTTTGGGAGGCCGGGAAGGGAGGGACGCAGTAGGGTCAGACCTTACCCCCACCAGTAGAAGGCGTTCGTTCCCAGCCTGGGAAGCCCCAGCAGGCCTGGAGTGACTGACTGTCTCCCATTTCTTGTTGCCACCCAGAGGCCAACCCAGAGAAATTCAACAGCCGCTTTCGGAATAAGATGTTCTATGCCGGGGTGAGCCTGGAGTCTGCCAGCCCAGCAACACCCCCTTCCCACGCCCGCCTAGTCTGCCACCCATTTCCCCAGCCCACCTGTGTCTGCCAGGCCACAGGACCCCTGTCAGGCAATGGTAAGGGAAGGTCCCTGTCCCCAGATGGTGACGCCTCTGTCTCCCACAGACAGCCTTCTCCGACTTCCTCACAGGCAGCTCCAAGGACTTGGCCAAGCACATCCGCGTGGTGGTGAGTGGGCCAAGCCGGCAGGCAGAGTGGCAGGCCCAGCTGGGAGGGAAGCTGCCTTGGCACCTCATGTGTACCCCCAACACCCTCCCCCATTCCTGCCTCTAGTGTGACGGAACTGACCTGACCCCCAAGATTCAGGACCTGAAACCCCAGTGCATTGTTTTCCTGAACATCCCCAGGTGAGGAAGGGGGGGCTCTGTGTGGGCCCAGCTGTCTCCATCCTGCAAGACTGTCCTCTGAAGACCGTCCTGTTGCCTTCCCTTCAGGTACTGCGCAGGCACCATGCCCTGGGGCCACCCTGGGGAGCACCACGACTTTGAGCCCCAGCGGCACGATGACGGTTACCTCGAGGTCATCGGCTTCACCATGACGTCCCTGGTGAGTGGGCCCACATGGGGCCTGCCTGGGACCCCACTTCTACTTTGTACCTGGCCCTGGGCCTACAGTGCTCACAAGCATGGTTCCGGGATGGAAGCGGGGCTCCCCAAGCTTCCCTTCTCTGACTGGAGGCTCACGGTCTCCTCCTCCCTCTGACTTGAGTGTCTCTCAAGCTCTGCGTCTGGGAGGTTACTTTCATCAACGCCCTCTGACTGTGGAGAATCACCCTCATTGCTTGTGTCTGGATCTTTCCCTCACCTCCCCTTCTTGTTTGGGTCTCATCCTCCCTCCGCTTTCCATCGGGGTCACCCTCAGTTCTCTGGCCAGAGTGTCCCTGGCAGGAGCAGGGCTTGAGGTCCCAGCACCCCGTCCTGGCCCCTGACCCCATCCTTCTGTGCCCACAGGCAGCGCTGCAGGTGGGCGGGCATGGCGAGCGGCTGACGCAGTGCCGTGAGGTGGTGCTCACCACGTCCAAGGCCATCCCGGTGCAGGTGGACGGTGAGCCCTGCAAGCTGACTGCCTCGCGCATTCACATTGCCCTGCGCAACCAGGCCACCATGGTGCAGAAGGTCAAGCGACGCAGCGCCACCCCCCTGCACAGCGAGTACGTGCCCCCTGCAGCCTCCATGTGCCCTGGGCCAGAGGCCAGACTCTGCCCCTCCCTGAGCCTTGGTTTCCCCAGCTGGAAAGGGGGCTAACAGTCCCTGTGCCCCAGGGCAGCTGGGAGGGGACACTTGGTTTGGTGCTTGAGCTGAGCCCTTGCCGAGTCCCCTCTTGCTGCCCTGCCCTCAGCCAGCAGCCAGTGCCTGAGCAGCTGCAGATCCAGGTGAGCAGGGTCAGCATGCATGACTATGAGGCCCTGCATTATGACAAGGAGCAGCTCAAGGAGGCCTGTGAGTGACCATCAGGGCTGGGGGGAGCATTGAGGAGCCGCTGAGTCCTCTGAGGGCAGGGCAGTGGGGTGCAGCCAGCTGCTGACTGCCTGCTCTGTCCTCCAGCCGTGCCAGTGGGCACTGTGGTGGTCCCAGGAGACAGCGACCTGGAGCTCTGCCGCGCCCACATCGAGAGGCTCCAGCAGGTGAGGGGTGGGGGACAGGGGCCTGCCCTGTGCTGCTCTCACCTGCTCCAGGTTCTGTTCTTACCCAGCCCTGGCCGTTGTTCTTTCAACAGGAGCCAGAAGGTGCTGGAGCCAAGTCCCTGACATACCAGAAACTGTCCCCCAAGTGGTGCTTCCTGGATGGTGAGTGGCTCTGAAGGCCAGATCCTGGCAGTCCTGGGCTATGTCCTGCCCCCTCCCTGGGTAGTCCTGGGTTGGGGCAGCAGAAGACCTGGGCCTGGACAAGGGCCTTCTGCATTCTCAGCCAACTCACTGTGTCCCCCATAGCCACCACTGCCAGCCGTTTCTACAGGATCGACCGGGCCCAGGTGAGCACTGCTGTCCTGCTCCAGCCACAGCTGGTTCCAGGGCACCCGGCATCACCTCTCCTGTTAGCCTGACCCCCACAGATGGGCCCACCCTGTCCTCATACTCCATAGTGCACTCACATTGTCCAGTCCATGGATAGGGCATGGCCCTGCCCTCCGGGCTGGGGTACGCAGGGGTGATACCAACAGGAAAAGTGAGCCAGTGTACCCAGAAAAGGCTTGCGGGGGGTGGAGGGGGTGGCCTTGAAGAACAGGTGCTATCCAGAGAGACACAGAAGAAAAGGCGCTTTTGGCCAGGGCCAGGTCGCCTAGGCAAAGGCTTAGCAATGGGAAGGGGCTGGCAAGCTGGTGGGCCCAATACACAGGCTGGGCTTTGAGTGGTGGGAAAGGAGAGGTGACGGGGGGGTGAGGGGAACAGGGCCTAGCAGGGCCCTCGCCTGGCAGTTTCATCAACGTTTATATCCGTGGCGAGGCTTCCCCAGGTCTTCTGGCCTCATGGCCCCCTCACCCCACCATCCGCCACCCTGGAAGGCTATGAACCTCAGCCCTTACCCTTGGCCCTGGCCTCCCTACCCACAGGAACACCTCAACTATGTGACTGAGATCGCACAGGACGAGATTTATATCCTGGACCCAGAGCTGCTGGGGGCATCAGCCCGGCCTGACCTCCCAACCCCCACGTCCCCTCTCCCCACTTCCCCCTGCTCACCCACACCCCGGTGAGTCCCAAGGCTCCCCCAGTGCCCTGGCTGTAAGTCCCACCTATAAGCCGGCCGCTCCTGAAGCCCTGCCCTCAGGCCCAGCCACGTCCCTGAGTGCCAGCCGCACAGCCAGCTCGCTGCCTGCACAGTCCCCACTGACTCCCCCGGCCAACGCATTGGTAGCCAACTCCACCTGGCCAAGGACCTGAGCTCCCACGCTGACCCTTCAGCAAGTCCTGTCAGCTGTCTCCCAGCATCTGACCACAACCCAGCTAAGCCACCATGCCCCTGGCCTCCAGATCATTCTCCAGCCTAGAACCTTCTCCCAGCCCCCTGTGGTCATGTCCCCTCCCTGTGTACCTGCTCCTTTCATCATATGCAGCCTCAGCCTGGCCTCGCCCTTCCATCACCACCCAAGTCCAGCCCCACTCACCTCAGTTCTCTGAGGCCTGTTCGCCTACCTCTGGACTTGTCCTTGCTGCCTCAGGCACTTCCCCGTTCTTCACAGAGCTGGCCCCTCCACTCACTCCCCAGAGGAGTCTTACCAGGAACCCCACCTGGAGTTGCTGTTCAATTACACTACCCCATCTTGTATTCTTCATAGCACTTCCTGCTCTTAAAACACTTTATTTATTTGTGTATTTGCCTGCCTGGCTAGAATGTAAGCTCCTTGAGAGCCAGTTCTCCATCCGCCATGTTCACTGCTGTATCGCCAGTGCCTGGAGCAGCAGCACTTGTTACGTAGGAGGCACTCAATAAACTGTTCAAAGAATGAAGGGTGCCCCTGTTTGGGGCAGGGGAGGGCGACAAGCTGGGCCGGTGCTGTAGCCATGTGACGTCTCATCCTGCTCTGTTTGTAGGTCACTGCCAGGGGATGCCGTACCCCCTAAAGGTGAGGCCGCTCCCTGCAGGGCCCCTCCTTTCTCCCTGGTCTTAGGAGTGAGGTTGGTGGGGCAGGTGGGCCCATACACAGCCTGACACAGACAGAACTGTTGAGGTCCACGTGGTCACATTCACCACGAGCCCAGCCCTTAGCACATCCGCCCCGCAGGCCCCCTTCTCTGCACATCACATGTATGTTCACACACCAACATGAGCCCAGGCCTCCAGCCCCAGAGTGTTAACAGGCAGGTGTTCCTGCAGGTGAAGAGCTGGTTGAGGCTGCCAAGAGGAACGACTTCTGTAAGGTACTGGTGCCCGGGCTCCAGCTTCTTGCCCTTGGCAGCCCCCTCAGGCACTGGGGAGTGGGGCCTCTGGGTGGCCAAGAGCTGACCTTCAGGCAGTCATCTGTCGTGGTCCTGCCCTCAGCAGGTCTCCACGGTGATTGGCCTATTCTGCTTTGCCCCTGTCCCTGCCCAGTTCACAACCAGTGTCCCTTCATAGCAGCTTCCTAGCTCAGGCTCCCTGTCCCTGGTGCTCAGAAAGGAGCGAGTCTTAGAGGACCTGCAGGCCGCAGGGCCTGGTTGTCAGTGCTCCTGGAGAGTCCATGGGAACCTGGGGTGAGAGAAGCCAATTTTCTCTCCCCTGACCCTCCAGAAAGACCACCAGTGGCTCCTAGGGAGTGATGTGTGTGTGGGCACGCAAGTGAGGCCTGTGGCCTGTATGTGAGTTTGGGAGCATTTCTGTGACTGGAAAGAGGGTGGCCCACAGGAGCCCCAGCCCTGCTCTGCCTCCTACCCTCAGCTCCAGGAGCTGCACCAAGCCGGGGGTGACCTCATGCACCGGGACGATCGGAGTCGCACGCTCCTGCACCACGCAGTCAGCACCGGCAGCAAGGAAGTGGTCCGCTACCTGCTGGACCACGGTAAGCTGTGCTGAGGCCCCTGGGCCCCGCCAAGATGGGAGGAGAGACTGGCAGGCCGCTCTGACCTTCCTCTCCCCTCTCCTCCAGCCCCCGCAGAGATCCTTGATGCTGTAGAGGAAAAGTGAGTATTTGGGCAGTGCAGGACTCTGATCACCCTGAAGACCACCCTGTCTTCATCCAGCCCCTCCTATTTAGTCCAGAGGGAGCCCATAAACCCTTCCAGGCCGCATCTGTCACCCTCTGGGCCACCCCCCTTGCCACAGAGCCCTGAACTCCCTGCCCTTTCTGATGGCCCTTGGGAGACAGAGGGAGGGCCCAGAGGACTGGGGGGGGTTCACAGCCAGCTCCTGTGCCCCCAGTGGCGAGACCTGTCTGCACCAGGCGGCAGCCCTGGGCCAGCGCACCATCTGCCACTACATCGTGGAGGCTGGGGCCTCGCTCATGAAGACAGACCAGCAGGTGAGCCCATTGGGGGGGAGGGGCGGGACACCAACTCTAACCAACTTGCCGCCCTAGTGAGAAGGGAGATGGGAAGGTCCACCTCGGGGTTTGCAGCTCCTCCTCAACCTTGAGAAACCTGAGCCTGCAGGGGTGGGGCTGGCCTGGCCAAGGAGGCCTTCCTTTCCCCAAAGGGAGCCAGAGGGAGGAGAAGCCCCTGCCCTCTCCGAGGCCTGATCGCAGCTCCTCCCCCCTCCAGGGCGACACTCCCCGGCAGCGGGCCGAAAAGGCTCAGGACACGGAGCTGGCCGCCTACCTGGAGAACCGGCAGCACTACCAGATGATTCAGCGGGAGGACCAGGAGACAGCGGTGTAGCGGAGGCCAATGCTGAGGAAGGGGGACAGGACCGGCCAGAGCATGACCCCCCTCCTCGCCCACCTCACTGCCACATTCCAGTGGGACAGCCACGGGGGGACCCATGCCACAGGGAAGGAGCCCCGTGCTGCCCCCTGAGGAGCTACCCAGACCTAGGGCTGGACTCTGAGGAGCTGGAGCACTCACCTGTCCCCCTGAGCCTCTGCCTGACCTGGCGGCCCACAGGAGCAGGAAACTGGACTGGACTGGACTGGGCAAGACTTTGGGGGGCTGAGGCTAGGCCCCTGCAGAGTGGGCCTCACCCTCACTGCAGTGGATGCCCTCCCTGGAGTTTAGGGGCCAGAGAGGGAGGGCAGAGGGGCTTGAAGCCCTATCAGGGAGCCTTCCCTAAGCCACCTGGTCCTTTAGGGCCCCTGCTTTGAGGCTCCTGAGAGCTCAGCCCCCTCTCCTGCCCTGACCCCACCCTCCCCAGGGCTTCCTCCCAGAAACCCGGAGCCTGCTGCATTTACCTGCCCGCTGCCCTGCTTGGCACCTACCCCACTGACCCTCCCCAGTCATTTCATTGCAGACTGTGTGGCCTGGGGTTGGGGTGGGGCTTCACGGTGACATGTTTACAGCTGGGTGTGACTCAGTAAAGCGGATTTTTTTCCTTTCTGCTTTCCTTATTTTGTGGGAGAGGTCTTCAAGCAGCAGCTGGGTCTGCTTGGTTACGGGAGGGGGAACTGCACACCGTGAACGCATGAACGCAGACCCTTTTCCGGAGGTTCTATTTCTTCGTTAGGGGGTGGGGTCCCAGGGCCTGCCCCGGACCTGACCTCTGCCAGGTCGCCTTGCTCGTCGGGGCGAAGGGAGGAGCTAAGTTCTTCCAGCTTCCCGCTTCCTTCAGGGATGGTAACAATGGAAGTGAGAGAGGTGGGGCGGGGGAGAGGCCTGGATTCTTGGGCCCGTTTGCCCTGTGGCCTAGGTCTCAGCTGCTCTCGCTTTTTAGGGGATCGGGTGAGGTGATCCCGGAGCTCCCGGGGTCAGAGGGGTGGGTATCTGCAGCCATCCCCGAGGCCGGGTCTGGAACTTCTTAGATCGCTCTTCGCAGCTCCAAGTCTTACCAAATCCAGGTCTGCGGGTTCCTGCTCCTCCAACTCTCCCCCTCTGCCCCCGCAAACCTGTGCTCCCGGAAAGGCGCAGCGCCCTTCGACCCATTCGCTTTCTCTGGGGTTCCCGTCCCAGGCTCCCCAAGACTGAGCAAAGCACCTCCCTGCACAGTTGGTGAAGCGCTCCGAGGAGGGGCTGGCACGCCTTTACAGCGGCTAGGTGGGCGCTGGGGCCTCGACGGGGTAACAGGGAACCGGGCGCTCGGGGACGGAGCCGCACACCGGCTGGAACACGGCCCCGCGCCGGGCCCAGTGACACATCAGGACTCCGTACTCCTTCCTGGTCTCCATCGAAGGCTCCGCCGCCGGCAAAGGAGGCTGGCGTCCTTCGGGGAACCGGGACAGCCCCTGGGAGGGAGCGGAAAGCTGGGCCTGGGGCCAGGAGACCCTGCGCTCGGAAGATGGGGGCCAGGATGGCCCGCGTCTGAGAGCGGAAGACTCCGGCGGAGCGAAGCGAGGACTCGGGAACTGGCGGTGGGAAGCCGGAGCAGAGGCGCCGGGGGCGCGGGGCGGGAGCGGAGGCGGGGACGCTGGGGTCTGGGGGCGGGGGCCCATGTGACCGGCTCAGACCGGTTCTGGAGACAAAAGGGGCCGCAGCGGCCGGAGCGGGACGGGCCCGGCACGGCACGGGAGGGAGCCAAGCAGCGCGGGCAGCGAGCGAGTGAGTGCGCGGTGTTCGGAGGGGCCACCGCCCACCTGGGAGCTGGAGGCGGGTGGGGGTTCGAGCTACGTGCTGGGCTTTAAGCGCTACCCCCGGGAGATGCCTCCTGGCTGCACGCCCCGGCTAGCGACGGGGGACCGGTCCCTCAAGTCTTCCCGCCACCGCCACATGAGCAGCCTGACCCTTTGGGCCTGGAAAATGGGGAAAGGGGTGGTTGGTCCACGCACGCGGCCCCCCAGTGGGTAAGGGGGACGGGCGGGGGACTCTGACCCGCGCTCTCCCCCCAGGATGCAGCACCGAAGCTTCCTCCTCCTCACCCTCCTCGCCCTGCTGGCGCTCACCTCCGCGGTGGCCAAAAAGAAAGGTGATATGGGACTTGGGGGATTGAAGGAGGGCTGGAGACCGTCAGGTGAGGCCGGCAACCTCAGGACTAGTCGGCCGCCTGGGTTCCGAGGTCCGGAACCCAGGAAGGGTTCCCCCACGAGTCTCTCCATGCCCCGGGTCCTGAACTCTGTTCCCCGTACGTTTTAGACAAACTGAAGAAGGGCAGCCCGGGGAGCGAGTGCTCGGAGTGGACCTGGGGGCCCTGCACCCCCAGCAGCAAGGACTGTGGCGCGGGCTTCCGCGAAGGTACCTGCGGGGCCCAGACTCAGCGCGTCCGATGCAGGGTGCCGTGCAACTGGAAGAAGGAGTTTGGAGGTGAGGAGGGGCGCAGGCGGAGGGCACGAAAGGGGGACACAGCCACAATGAAACCTGAGTAGGCCTGTGGAGGGAGGCCACAGGCCGCCCAGCTCTGACCCAGGGCACTCTCCCGCCAGCTGACTGCAAGTACAAGTTTGAGAACTGGGGGTCCTGTGACGGAGGCTCAGGCACCAAAGCACGCCAGGGCACCCTGAAGAAGGCGCGGTACAATGCCCAGTGCCAGGAGACCATCCGTGTGACCAAGCCCTGCACCCCCAAGACCAAAGCCAAGGCCAAAGGTCACCCAAGGGGTGAGGGGAGGTGGGGTGTGGCAGGGGTCTGCCCCCATCTGTGAGGGGCATGGTTAAGCCTGAGGGTTTGGGCCCTGGTGAGTAATGTATTGACATCTCTGCACTCCATTTCCCTTTCTGTAGAGATACCTTAGGTGGGTGCCTACTGAGGTTGGCCCACAGAGGTGCTCAGGAGACAGTACATCCTTCTGGCCCCAGTCAGAATAGTCACACTGTTCTGTTGGAGCGTCTGGCTTAGGATCCAGGAAATCGCCCAGGAAGGGCGTGGCTTTGTCACCTCTCCAACCAAAAGGAGCATTTGGTCAACACTGCCCTTTCTAGTATGGGAAGGGCTTCACTGTCCAGGCTTCCTCCATCCCTTAGCTCATTCCTGATTCCCAGCAGCCCAGAGAGGCCAGCAGGGCAGAGGTGCATCTGCCCACTCTCAGATGAAGAGGCCCAGGCGGTTGTCCAGGGCTCCTGGGACTGGGAATTTGAAGGTGGTCTGATCCCCAGTGAAAGTTTAAGTTGGGGGTGTGGGGAAGGCCCAGCAGCATAATGGCTGCCCTATCCCACTGGCTTTCAGGTCTGTTGATTAAGAACCACTAGGGGGCAGAATTTTCTTCTCCCAGATGTGTAGGGGGATCTTTACCGGGTCACCTGAACGCTCCTAACACGGTATTTATTTCTTGTTTTACAGCCAAGAAAGGGAAGGGAAAGGACTAGCAGCCAGGCCTGAATGCCAGAGAGCCCCTGGCCCAGGCCCCTCCTCCCACAGGCCCAAGATGTAACCCACCAGTGCCTTTTGTTACTCATCAGCTTTATCAGCCCTGCCTCTTCCCTTTCCCTCCCCGCCCCCACTCCCCCAAGCGGGGAGGGACGAGGGATTCTGGGCAGCTTGAGCCTTCCCCCAAGAGGATTTGATTCCCGTGCCCCCTTTGCTCTTCCCCACAATGATGCCATTACTAAGAAACAAACTCTTTTTTTTTTTTCCCAATAAAAGACTTTTTTTTTTTTTTAATATATAAAAGCCCCTTCCTGGGGAGTTTGCTGTGGTAATTTGTTGGGGATGGGAGAGTGTGGGGCGAGAAGGCTGGAGAGAACAGTAGCTTTCTTGGGGACTTGGTGCTCCCCGGAGCTCATGGAAAGAGCACACAGAAAAAGCAAAATGGTTCTGAACATTTCTCCCAGGGCCCTCTGCTGACCCATGAAAGGGTGCCCGTCAAGTCCCCTGAGTCTTTCAGTCTTTGTTTCTCCCGGGGTGCACCAGGGCTGGGGGAGGGAGCCAACCCGGAAGACTCAACTAGAGCTGACACTCCTACCTCAGCCTCACCCAGGCAAAGTTCTTTTGGTTCTTCCAATCAGGAAGGTTCTATCAATTATGAGAGTAGAAATGGGGTTGCTTGCAAACCTTACTACCCATACCCCCACTGGCACTGAAGCGTGTGTGGGTCAAGTCCATCCCTATTCTCTCTGGTGACCCAGGCCTCCCTCGCAGTCTGCAGAGGCTAGCGGAGAACACTGCCCACCACAGCCCCACCTGCATTATGTGTGGCCTGGGATAAGCCCTCCTTGGGGAGGTGGGAGGACTAGAATCTGGCAGACCACTCCCGGCTCAGGCTGAGACCACAAGATGCCAGACCCCAGTTCTGAGTGAGTCCCTGACCTCCCAGCTGGCCAATTCTGAACTTGACCAGGGCCGTGCTGTGTGTGTGTGTGTGTG